ACTTAGTACATAAAACAATAAATACTAAGTGCATAGCGTTTTTGAATTATAAAAACTCGAATGTTTTATAAATACATACATATGCTTTAGAATATTGTATGTATGTATGTATATAATTGTAAATGGCCATTTAAATATTTCGCATTTGTTTCGCACTTGTATGCCTAGACCAAATTAATTAATTGTAATAAATATTTAGTAAATATACATACACACATACATAGATTTATTAGAAAAAATACTTAAGTAAGTAATACACCTTTATGTAAATATGATGTATGTACGTGGGATACATATTAGCTATTTAAGAATGTATTGAAAGGAGAAAAAATGTACCATTTAAAGTGTCAAAGCAAAGAAATGTATTGAATTTGAATCCATTGAATTGTATTGCTTTGGATTGTATTTTTTAAATAATGATTATGAATGTATTGTATATCGAATGGATATAATTTATAAAAGCGCAACAGCCGAGAAAATAAATAAACATATTTAAACAGAAATGAATACAACAAAATTTTATTATTTATTCTTATGCTTTCGATATTTGGATATGATGATAATGTAAGTACCAGGTACACATGAAATTTGATTTTAAGGTCGAAATGAAAAAGTCGCGAAATGAATCTCCGAAAAAGTTCCGAACTATCTATATTAACGAGCAGTGTTGCTAAAACAGCTGATTATGTTCGTTTTCTTCTTGTACTAGTTTTTAAATAAAAAAATAAATAAATAAAAAATAGGTTCGTTCAGAAATCGATCAGTAAGTTTTCCAGTTGGAAGTAGTGACGGTACCGGCAGGCAAAACCAGTAATCTCTCAAGCAGTAGCTACTTCTAAATTCGAATCGATAGTTTCTACATATTTTAGACATACAGTCAAGTGAAATGTTTATTAATATTATATAAAAATACACCTCATTATCTAAAAAAAATAAAAAATATGAGTTCAAATTTCAAACTTTGTAGAAAAATTCAACTAAATTTTACAAAAAAATTTTTATTAAGATTTATTATTATTTTTTTTTATGTGAGTTGAAAAAAAACTTGTTATAAAAAATCAATTCGATTTCTTATTAGCCACCTAAAACTTGCACTTTCTTGAGCTAGAATTTAATGGGCTACTACTTTATTATACTCACTTATAATATACCGTTAATAAAAACTTTATCATTGTTGTAAAATTTTGTTCAATTTTTCTAATTTTTCTACAAAGTTTGAAATTTGAACTTGTATGGTTTTTGTTAGATAATGACATGCATTTTTATAAAAAAGCGTTAAACTATAACCAAACAAAAGAAAAATAGTCAAAACTGGTCAAATTGTCGCGTCTCTTTTATTTTTCACATGACTGTTGCACTTTGATCCCAGAAGTATTTATTAAACAAAAACGGCTTTAGAGACATCTTGACTCCAGCGACACCTATAGGACCAATTTTAAGAAAGCGTATTTCTATTTACATATGTACAGTATCGGTCATATCTATAGCATGCCATTTCAAAATGATATTGTGTGCTACTTATGTTTCTTTATTTATTTTTAAGAATTTTCAATTAAAATATAGTTCATTCTCAGACAAACCCCATATAAACCCAAGTTTAACAATTTGTAGGAAACTACAAAAAAGTGCAACAAATTTTCATCTAAATTTCAAACTTTTTTCTCGGAAGTGTTAGAATTTTTTCGAGTACACAGTTTTTAGGCTCTTCTGTTTTAGTCTGTTAATGTACAAGTTACATAATTTTAAAGCAGTTACTGAAGACTTTTATCTATAAAAGTCATCAATACAAATCAATCACTAACTTTTATTATTAAAATCATACTTATAAGGCTTAGTAAACTTTGGTTCTTAACTGCGAAAAATTATAATTACTGTTATACGTATGACTTAAAAATAAAACTGATTTTTATTAATGGCGTTTATAAATAAAAAAAGTCTTCAAAAACTGTTATCTAAGACATAACATAAAAATCAAAAATTGGTTTACTTAAATATTACTTAGATAAAAATTAAAAATAATTGTTATTTTGGATTTATAACATAAAATCAAAAATAATTGCTATTTTTTTAAATTTTTCATAATAAAAATTCAAATAAAAATTTATTTTTCAAGTTTGATTCTCGGTGAAAAAAGGAATCGATTGGTATGTTTCACTTAGTTGTGGAACATTTCCTTCATAGTGAATTTTTCAATGACAGTTTTCATCAATAACTGTTATGTTTCAAGGATTCTATACCATTTCTACGAAAGAATGTTTTTCTCATATCAAATACATGGGAAACCGCATGGGTTTTAAGACTGTTCTAAATAAATTTGTTTTTAAAAACAAAATAATACGGGTATTCTTTTCGTCCATTTAGAAAAATCCTAGGGGATAAGAACTTAACATTTTAAACTTTTTCCCCGCATGTATTTTTGGATTACCTTAATGTACATACATATAAAATGTTTGCTTACATTTTTCGTGTTTTCTTCATTAACTTGTTGTTTCGTAACCGTTTTGTGTTATGTTAAAAAACCTCCTCCTCTCTTATTTTCTTTTCTCTCACCCCGTCCCCACTCACTCACCCTACCTCCCACCGCATCCATCCTTCTCACTTTTCTTCCACCATCT